CTGGGCTTGAATTCGATCAAAAACCCGATCCAAACACATTAGAAGGAAGGAAGCAGATTGTACTTCAACGTATAAGGGATGCTTTCAAGAAGTTGACTTAATCGTTATATGCGTACCGAATAAGTTTGATGTACATAAAATATTTAATAATAATGAATAAAATAGTTTAAAAGTACAAATATTTGTTTAAAGGTAAATTATTCTGTGTAAGGTTTCAACAAGTATTTCAAATATATGTAGTGAATGCGAAATTTCTTGTCCACATAGGTTCATAGCTCTGAATAGTATGTTAAATCTTTTTGAATTCTAGTTAAAGTTGTGTTGCATAAATGTAGTGGAGGCGTCTTATAGTTTGAATAGAGCTTATCTTTAGAAATATGATACAGACAAAGTAGATTTTCGAAGATTGCCAAAGTAAAAATGTTAAGGAACAAAGACCCCACAACGCTACCTGACATCAAATTATGGTGTGAAATATCAACGGAATTTCCGCGAATTTACATTCCAGAACAATTCAGAGAATTAATTATACAGAAATTACATGCTTTATCTCACCCTGGTATACGAGCAACCATTCATTTAATAAAAACAAAATTATTTTGGCCTCATATGTCGAAACAAATTCGTACTTGGACAAAATCATGTTTGCAATGCCAGAAAGTAAAAATACAAAGGCATACAAAATTGCCAATTCTCAAAATCAAAGTTCCAAAAGTTCAGTTTGAACACATATACAGCGTGTCCCGTATCTTCCGCATCAGAGCATTATACGATTGTACGATACATTATTCTGAAGCGATCTTTCTAATAAAATTTTTTCGAAATGTTTATAATAACCGCACGGGAACTGTTTAAACGAACTGTTTTTCGTCCAATCAGCAGATCGCAAATCAGCCTCAGGTAGTCGGTGCCTCCTTCGGCCGGTCCGCTACGCCGATGATAACTCGTTTCCCACGTGTACTCACCAATAGATTCGTCACGGAAAGAGAAATAAACTTTTTCGGTGAATCAAAGTCGTCCGTTATTGGTCGTTGTTAAACAGTTCCCGTGCGGTTATTATAAACATTTCGAAAAAAATTTATTAGAAAGATCGCTTCAGAATAATGTATTCTACAACCGTATAATGCTCTGATGCGGAAGATACGGGACACGCTGTATATTGATTTGGTTGGCCCACTCGCTCCATCTCTTGCATGTACTTATCTGCTCACGGTCGTCGAGAGTTTCACACGGTGGCCAGAGGCTTTTCCTCTAAAAGATATTTCTGCAGCTTCCATTGCGGATACTCTTTTCAAGCATTATTTCAGCCGTTTCGGTATTCTTACCGCAATCACTCACGATCAAAGACGACAATTCGAATCACTATTATTTTCAAAATTATAATTACTTTTAGGTACTCATCAAATACATACTTCCACTTATCACCCACAAAGTAACGGTATGATAGAACGATTTCACCATACTTTGAAATAAGCGATTATTGCCCGAGATAATACTACTAGATGGAACAACGACTTGCCCTTGATTCTCCTAGGTCGCAGATCATCTCTAAAGCAGGATTTAGGTTGTTCATCTGCAAAATTGGTTTATGGTCAGTCACTCAAATTACCAGGAGAATTTTTCATATATACCGAACCAGGGCCGGATCATACCTTTTGTGGGCCCAAGGCGCTCTATATTTTTGGCCCCAAAAAAGTCTAATATTACTATTTAAGTATTATGATTAATATTAATAATAATGTTTTTGCCTCAAAAACAAGTATTTACAAAAATATATACATTCATAACAAATATAGACATCAAGACAAACGGATCAATTTATCGCAATAAGCGATATCTTCCAAGAGATCCAACTGGTAACAGTGTATATGTAATTTTAAATAAATAATTATGGCTACCAAAAAAGTAATACTAAATACTAAATGATGTGCTAATAGGACTGAGCGAATGAGCATATTTGAGTTATGTAACGGATCGACAGTCAGTTACTACAAGGAAGGAAATAGACACAAAAAAAGGGCAGTAAAAGATAGATGAAAGGCAGACTAGACAAGAAAACAAACACGTATAGGTCAAGAAGAAGATAGTTGATGAGATAGCAGATGGCGCCTCTAGGCATTTTTAAAACTTATTAAACTAGCTGCATTGCGAATAACAGCAGGCAAATCGTTCCACAACGCAATCGACTGCACTGTAAAAGATCTTTGGTAGATTTCAGTACTATGGACTGGAAACATGAGTGTAGAGTCCGACATTGATCGAGTGGGCAAGTCATGTGATGCTAAAAACTGAAAGGCATCGAACAAATAAGCAGGAGTGCGGGTATGGACAATTTTGTACAAAATAGCATGCGAAATGATCTACGACTCTGGCAAGTCATCATCTGCAGGTTGTTACGATATGGAGGAATGTGCTAAAACTTTCCTAAATCAAAAATGTACCGTATACAATTGTTCTGAAGTCTTTCCAATTTACCCCGAAGGGCTTCGGACAACTCGGGATACGCAGCATCGGCATAATCAATGTGTGGGAAAATGAGAGAATAACAAAGATTACGACGTACAACAGGAAGAAGGTAGCAGCGAAGTTTTTTCAAAGTATGGAAACAGAAGTAAACCCTCTTACAGACTCCCTGAACTTATGGCCGCCAAGACATCGCCGAATCCATTACCACACCAAGATTTTTGACCGTATTAGAAAACGGAATAACGGTGTCGCCAAGCCTCAGTTGAAGGGTAGTTAAGGAATTAAATTGTGCCAGCAAGGAGTGAGTGCCAAATGCAAAGGCTTGCGTTTTACCTGGATTCAGGTTAAGTCTATGACGTCTAGATCAGTCGAGCACGCTAGAGAGATCGTTGTTAAGATGCAACAACGCATCTGGGAGGTTGTTAACAGTTGACGAAATATAAAGTTGAAGGTCATCTGCATACAGATGATAGTTACATTGAGATACCATCACCAATACTATTTATGAAAATTGAGAAGAGCAGGGGACCCAGCACACTGCCCTGGGGAACTCCACATTTGATGTCAACAGGAGAAGAGAGTACAAATTCCACGCGGACATGTAAAGACTGGTAAGAAAGGTAGGACTGGAACCAAGATACACAAGAAAAGGTAAAACCAATAGCAGAAAGCCTAGTTAACAGTTAGTTAACAGGAGGGCATGGTCCACAGAATCAAAGGCCTTACTAAAATCAAGTAACACTAGCAAGGTAACACACGCAGATCTAATATCATTGGTGATCTTAATCAGTGCTGTAGTAGTACCATGCCCTTCACGAAAACTAGACTGGAACTTATTAATCAGATTAAACTCCTCAAGATATTTCTGAATCTGCAAATAAGCTAAACGTTCAATAGCTTTTAACAACGTAGATAGAATAGAAATGGGTCGAAAGTCACCAACATGGGACGGAGATTTAATTTTTAGGATAGGAATAACATAGGCGATTCGCCAGATTGAGGGAAATATAGACTGTTCAAAAGAACAGTTGAAAATATGTATTAGGGGAGTAATAACTATATCCAGAATGGCTAAGAGGATTTTGAGTCCATTACCATCTGCTCTGACACTAGTGGACTTGGAGTAAGTTAAAGCATCCCGGACCTCAGCATCTGTAACCAAGGTGAATGAAAAAGAAAGCATTGTTGGTAGGCTACAAGGATTTCATTAATAGTATTCTGCCTAGTTATGTTACCAATCACCACAGAAGGATCCGCAAATATGTATATTATATGCCTATGCAATATCAAACCAGAACCGGGCCCCTGTAGGTGCAGGGCCCTGAGGGGCGCGCCTCAAGCGCCTACGGGTTAATCCAGCCCTGTACCGAACCATCAATTGAAACTGAACCATTACTACCAAATTTAAAATCATCTTTTGCTGACATTAAACCAGTTCAGTCAATCATACTTATCAGCCAAAAACTTTTTGTCCACAAGGAATTGTTCAGCTCAAACTTTGTTTTTGTTAAGATCACTGGTATTAATCCTTCTTTGTCTCCTAGGTACGAAGGACCCTTCAGAGTGATTAAGAGATATTCAAAGTTTTTCGTTATAATGAAAGGTAATAACTGTCATTTTTTTGACATTTAAACCTGTCAACGGCGTTATGTCGGCGCCTACTTTGATTGTAATTTGCTGATTTCATATTTTCAGAAAACGCCTCTCTTTAGGTTTGCTTACATCGCCATTGTCTTTCTTCATTTACTTCTCGAAACTACCAACCCATTCACGCTAAGCCACTCATTCACCTTAGTCATAATATCACATTCTAACCTTTCAACTTCTGCCCTACTGCTTCATTTCACTAAAAACACAATATCATCACGACTTCCACACCACTTAACTCAATATTCAACAATTCATCAAGCACTACATTCCAGATTCTCGGCCTCAACACCCAGCTCTGAGGAAATCATTTCCGCATTCTCTTCGTAGTTGATGATATCTTTTACAATATATAATCTTTCGTTCAAAAGTAATCATTTACCGCTGCAACCTTCGAAGAGGTAGTAAACTCCCAGTATTAATATACAGATTAATCTAAGTTTTATTACACGTATTAGGACATTTCTTGACATCAAACACATCTTTTCGTATTTACTATATCTTCACTACGTTTTCATTTCTTCGAGAATTTTTAAGATAAAAATAATTGAGAGTTGGTAAATAATTTTGATCTAACTGTTACGGCTTAGGAATTAGCCTATGAAAACTTTTAATTTGGTCTACTTTACTACTCATTATAATGTGAATGAGTAATAATAACCCTGATTACAATCAAATTTACCACGAATAATTTTAATGGAACAAACTTTTTAATATTTACAATATAAAATATTTGCGGAATGGTAATCTGAAAAATCGAAATAAGCAAAAAAGAAATAACCCGAAAGACCGCGTTTCATTTTCAAACCGAAAGGATATGTAAATGTCCTTTTAGGTGCACTTTCTCTTTTCGGCGAACGCATATATGGAAGAGAATGCGTTAAATTGCGTTAGAAACCGACCAACACTCTAACGGTGTTTACCCATTATTAAATTGTATCAATTAAAGAAACTATGGTGAGTAAAAAAACATTTATAATTATCTAATATTTTTAGTTAATTCATTTTATTTACAGATCCATACAGTTTTAATATTATCCTTTTTTGGTACGTGTTGGAGTCAATACGCATCAGCACCGGCTTATCAAGATCAGCGACAATATTATGAGCGACCACCACAAGATTACCAAGAAGAAACTAACAGCAAACGACCGCCACAAATCGTCTCTCACAAACAAGCCCTAAGTCATGACGGCAATTTTAAATACGCTTTCGCCTCGGAGAATGGTCATCTTCAAGGAGAATCTATTGCTCCGGATGGTTCAAGAACCGGTGCATATGAATACGTGGATCCACATGGGAAAAAAATTTTAGTTAAATACATCGCGGGTAAAGAAGGATTTAAGATTTTGGAGGGTGCTCATATTCCGAGACCGCCACCACATCCCCAAGCACAACCACATCCTGGATATGGAGGACCTGGACCACAACCACCAGCACAAGTTCAACCATACAGACAGCCTTCACCTTTGCCGCCGCCACCACCACCACCAAGACAACAATATCCAAATGAAAGGTTGTTTTATCCGCAACAACTTCCCAAACCCGTTTATAACGTAAAATATCAACCTCAACAACCGCCGAGGTATTATGGACCTGAAAGAAGGGAAAATGAGATTTTTTCGGATGCACAAGGAGCTTATAGGCCTAAAAATAAAGACGAAGAATATCCGGATGTGGAACCTGGCAAACCGCATAGTTTTGGGGTAGGGTATGCGTTCGAGTTTGGAAAGAGTTAGATGTTTCTGTTTGTGTTGATATTAATTATTTAATTTTATTTTCCTATTTTATAGATGTTTATTGAAATATGTGTTAATAAAGTATCAAAACATAATAGAAAAAAAATTGTTTTATTAAGATGAAGTTCGCATTAAAAATGTGGTTTGATATGCACGTCTTTCATTAAATGCCTGTTTGATGAAGGATCGTTTCTCCTTTTGTATGTTTGATCAATCATTTGTCCTGATTTCAGAATCATGAATAAACTTATTTAATATAGATCTTGCTGAATATTTGAACATTATAGATCTGATGTCCATAGAATCTGATGTGCTAAAAAACATAGATTTTGAAGAAGTGATTAACGATTTTGCCCATCTGAAATCTAGAAGGGTTCCTCTTCAAATAACATAGATTTTTAAGCACTAACCTGTAAATGCTAAAAGAGTTACTTTTGTGGACTATATTACATTTATCTATTCGTTTCATGTGATTGTTAATAAAAATAAATTTTTAACCTTGTTTATCTACTTTCTTTGTCTATTCTAACAAAATAGTGTTCTGTCAAAGTCATAGGGGCCCCATTATCCCAATATGCCCAGGGCCTCCAATAGGTTAAAGACGGCCCTGTGTCGATTGGTAAAATTATGTTTTTATGGAAAGTAACGTTTAAACAATTATTGCAGTTTTTAGTCCTACAATAACTAAATTCTTCTTTAAATGGTTGTGTACAAAGAAACGCAATATTTGAAATAGCAATATTCTGGCTTCCAAAATAATTTATTCCTGTTAATAGTTTAGCTCTTTTTTTATATGTTGCTTTACTAGAACCGGTTTTAAAAATAATTTTAGGAAACTAAAGCAATCTGTGCCAACATTCTCAACATGATTTCTAAATGAATTGTGTGTACGGGCAAATGTTAAACTATGAATTATACTGTCGAATCCGCAAGTATTTTGAACAATATATTTTTTATTTTTTATTGAAATAGATATTAATAATAATAATAATGATCTTTATTTCGCTAAAATACAAAAAAAGTACATAAAATTCTGTATTGCAAAAACGTCCAGAAAAAAATATAATAAGTTTGAGTTTAAAACAGTTTATGTAGGGAGGAAGAAAAAAAGAAAAATAATTGCAGAATCGAAAACCTTAACCTCTCATACAATTTAAAAACTCATTTTCACTGTAGAAAGCACTTTCAATAAGTACTTTCTTTAAGTCTTTTTTAAATTCTATTTTAGCCTTGCAAAGTTGTTGGCAGATGTACACGGATGGAAGTGTGAGTACATTATATTATTTAAATAGGGGCTTACAGTGAATTCTTGGATGCGCCTGTTCAATTATTCTTAGCGTCTTTTTCTGCAGTATGAAAGCAGGCATTGTATGACCAAACGCTCCCCAAAGGCGTAGTCCGTAGCTCATCTTGCTATGGAAAAAAGCNACGCTCCATAAAACCGCTGACACAAGAATTACTGACTGAAACTTCCAAAAACTTTAATTTTCAAAGAGTAAAGTGCCCTTTAGAGAGTTGTTCTAGTGAAAATAATAGCTGTTCCATATTGCGTTAGCTATAATAAGTATATGTATATTTGTAATATGGAAGTGATAATAGAAAAACTATGGTCAGAGCAATCAACTAGACATTTCGGTAGCCAAACTTATTTTTAGTTATAACTTCGTAATGCCGTATCCCATAATTTTGATTTTCTAGAACAATAACTGGAACAACTAGAACATCCCCGAACAACAAAGAAAATTTGATTTTTCCAAAAATTATCTCGCGGAGTTTTAATTTTTTCGATTTGCTGCTTTGGAACAATGTAGAAGAACTCTAGAACAATTTAGAACAACAATAAAATATTTAAAAATCAAAAAATGGCGGGCTAACTTCCCACAGTGGATAGAACAAGATCTTACGATGAAGTGCGGCATGTCTTCAATTTCTAAATCAACAGTCGAAAGAAAACCTCATAAATGTTGAAAGAATTAAGATATCGGGTTTTGGTTTATGGGGTTGTATTTCTTTTTTCATTACCTTTAAAATATGGAAAACTCGACAGGGGTCAGGCCCGGTTCTACCGAGCGTGCGAAGCGTGCATGCACGAAGACGGCCGAACATACAGGGCGGCCGGCCGTCATATGCACAGACGAAATATTAAAAAAAAAAACCATATTGAAATATTTAGTTTGCGCCATCATACGACGCGACGGAAGTTACTCAAACTTCGAATGCCTTCAGCGGCATCTAGTCGTCGAAAGTAAAACTACACCGTGCTACCAACCATAAATAAAAAAAATTGGTTCTGATTTTTTTGTTGGCAACACTTACCTCTTTTAAGTAANGGAAGTGTGAGTACATTATATTCTTTAAATAGGGGCTTACAGTGAATTCTTGGATGCGCCTGTTCAATTATTCTTAGCGTCTTTTTCTGCAGTATGAAAGCAGGCATTGTATGACCAAACGCTCCCCAAAGGCGTAGTCCGTAGCTCATCTTGCTACGGAAGAAAGCAAAGTAAGCGGTTCTAGCAGCAGAGGCGTTTACTATTTGGCGAATTCTTAAAATAGCGTAGATGGCAGATGACAGTTGTTTCACCAGTATGTCGCTATGATCTTTCCAAGTAAATCTACTGTCCAAGTTGATACCTAATAGTCGGACGGTAGCCGTCTTTTGCTTAGTGTTACGATTAGTAGTCAAAGTGATTACTTCGGTTTTGTAAGATAAGATGTTAATCTGTCTAGTAGTGTCTTCTCAAACACATTTGAAAATATTGGTAATATAGATATCGGTCTATAATTAGAGCAATTTGACGNGGAAGTGTGAGTACATTATATTATTTAAATAGGGGCTTACAGTGAATTCTTGGATGCGCCTGTTCAATTATTCTTAGCGTCTTTTTCTGCAGTATGAAAGCAGGCATTGTATGACCAAACGCTCCCCAAAGGCGTAGTCCGTAGCTCATCTTGCTATGGAAAAAAGCAAAGTAAGCGGTTCGAACAGCAGAGGCGTTTACTATTTGGCGAATTCTTAAAATAGCGTAAATGGCAGATGACAGTTGTTTCACTAATATGTCGCTATGATCTTTCCAAGTAAGTTTACTGTCCAAGTTGATACCTAATAGTCGGACGGTAGCCGTCTTTTGCTTAGTGTTACGATTAGTAGTAATCAGTTTGTTACTTCGGTTTTGTCATCATTTAAGGTCAAACCGTTGTTACTGAACCATTCAGCAGCCTCCTTCAGAGCACAAGCTATAGCTGTTCTGACCGGTACTGAGCCACTCTCTATCAAAGTTGTATCATCTGTATAGAGTATGGCTTCAGATGAAATATTTTCAGGTAGATCATTGATATATAAACAGAAGAGAAGTGGCCAAGTAAACAAGGACTCATTTCACTGTTGAGGCTGACCGCCTGACTCCTATCTGTTAGATGTGAAGTAATCAGTTCCAGTGGTCTTGCACGTATACCATATTTTTCCAGCTTGGCAATAAGAAGAGTATGGTGAATGGAATCAAAAGCTTTTGTTAGATCACATAGGATCGCTGTTGTTTCATCTCCATTTTCCATAGCTTCCCAAACATTATTAAGGAGAGCCTCCACAGCATCAATTGTGCTCACACCTTTTCTGAATCCAAACTGTTTGCTGCTGAGTAGCTTATACTTTTCAAGATAAGATGTTAATCTGTCTAGTAGTGTCTTCTCAAACACATTTGAAAATATTGGTAATATAGATATCGGTCTATAATTAGAGCAATTTGACGGTTCTCCTNTGCTCACACCTTTTCTGAATCCAAACTGTTTGCTGCTGAGTAGCTTATACTTTTCAAGATAAGATGTTAATCTGTCTAGTAGTGTCTTCTCAAACACATTTGAAAATATTGGTAATATAGATATCGGTCTATAATTAGAGCAATTTGACGGTTCTCCTTTTTTATAGATTGGTGTTACCCTTGCAATTTTCATTACCCTTGGTGCAACATCTTCTTCATAGCACGAATTTATTATATTAGCTAAAGGAGCAGATATTTGGTCGGCACTGTACTTTAGAATTTTAGTGTTTAGAAAGTGTATGTCCATTGAACTTTTGCATTTCAAATGTGATATGGTTTCTTTAATTTCATTTAGAGTTACGGGTGTGAGGAACATGGAATGACTCTGAGATTTTATTTTAACAGCAGCTGAAGCTCCAACGTTACATACATTGTTGCCGATGCTTGCGAAAAATTTGTTAAGCTCATCCTTCGATGGTTGATTATCCGTTGTCCTCTTATTCCTTTGAATTTTGCCGTTGATAATTCTCCACATCCCAGCTTGACAATTACCAGACTGTGGGATACTTTTAACATATTGATCCCTCTTACGCTCTTTCGCAAAATTAATATAAAAATCTTTGTAACTCTTTAGAATTTCTTTTAAATCTTCACCGCCACGAGCGTTATAAGTTTCTTGTATGAGATTTAATGTTTCTTTCACCTGCAGAGTTTGAGCATCCATTACATATTGTTTTCTTTTACGTGATCTTTGTTGAATTGGGAAATATTCACGATATTCACGAAGTGTAAATATAAGTTTAGAAAAACATCGTGTTTGTTTTCAGCGTGTTTGTGTTAAACGTCGCATTCTGGTTTTGGTGTTGACTACACTGTTAAAAACATGGACCTAAATTTAACTCTTTTTCAACTAAATCTGGAAGTTCCCTCGCGACCATCCGTTTCGGAGACTAATTTTACGAAGTTAGAAATTTAACAAATATAAATTGCCAAGTGTAGTTAAATTCCTCGTAAAACGTAGTTATAGGTTATACATAAGGTGGAGGAATGCAACTAATGATAATTGTTAATTAACTGATTCTATGTTGTTGAAAGGACACCTTTACGAATATTCTGAACTCTTTATACATAGTTAAACTAATCTTGTTTTAGTTAAAAATATCCTCGAAGGAGGTAAATCTAACACCTTACAGGATAACTTCAACTATTTATTTGTAGTTAAATTAATCTTTTTTTTAGTTAATGA